CTTTTCTGAGTGCAGTGGTACAATCTTGGCTCACTGCAACCTACAATTCCAGGGTTCAAGTGATCCTCCCACCTCAGCCTCCTGATTAGCTGGGATTACAGGCGTGCGTCACCACACCTGGCTAATTGTTTTGTGTTTTTAGTGGAGACAAGGTTTTGCCATGTTGGTTAGGCTGGTCTTGAACTCCTGACTTCAAGTGATCTGCCCCCTTCAACCTCCCAAATTGTTGGGATTACAGGCATGAGCCATCATGCCTGGTCTCTTAAAAATGTTTTTGACACATTATCTCAGTTGATCTGCACAGAATTTCTGAGAGATGGTGTTTTTGTCTTTCAACCAGTTAGGCAGGTACCTCCGAGAAGATGAGCAATTTCCCCTAAGGAACTCAACTTAGAATATTAGAAACCCCCAAAATTTATATAATTCAGCTTTAATGCAATGTGTATTGGCTAGCATCGGTGATTTAACACTATTATTTTATCAAGCCCAGGCATTTCCATACAGTAGTACTTGGAACTCTCCCATGGGTCCTCCTCTTGCAATCACAGCATTTGACACTTTTGACTGGATGCTTTTTCATGGTAGCGAATATTTATTGAGCAACTGTTCTATACCAGTCCCAGTGCTAAGTGTTCCTGTGTATCCTCCACACTTAAGTCTCAGCGGTAACCTGCTCACTAATGGATCTCAAATCTATGTCTCCAGCCCAGGGCTCCCCCATTCCCATTTGGTTGCCTAACACCTGCTAGAAGGTGGAGAAAGAATCATAGCAAGTACTGCAATCATCTGCCCACTATTAGAATATCTAAATACAAGGCCGGGCGCAGTGGCTCACGCCTGTAATCCCAGCACTTTGGGAGGCCGAGGCTGGCGGATCACAAGGTCAGGAGATCAAGACCATCCTGGCTAACATGGTGAAACCCTGTCTCTACTAAAAATACAAAAAATTAGCTGGGCGTGGTGGCGGGCGCCTGTAGTCCGAGTTACTGGGGAGGTTGAGGCAGGAGAATGGCGTGAACCAGGGAGGTGGAGCTTGCAGTGAGTTGAGATGGTGCCACTGTACTCCAGCCTGGGCCTCAGGGTGAGATTCCGTCTCAAAAAAAAAAAAAAAGAATATCTAAATACTTGTCTTTCCACCTTTTACTGAGTCTGCAAGCTCCAAGAGAATCAGAGGCAGCACATTTTTCATTTGGCTATCCCTACAGTCAATTTAACTTTTAACACAGTGGTTTCTCAATGTTTATTGGCCTCAAGGTACATTGTATCTAGTATGTTTAAATCAAGCCAAGAAGGAAGAAATAAAATTGGTAACTTTGGCCACTAGATGTCACACCACACTTGATGGTCAACAGAAAATTCCTGGCCTATGTTATTCCAAATTTCACCTCGATTTTAGTATGAAAGCAAATCTTGTGTTACTGTATTCATTAATCTCAACTATTTGGAACAAAGTATCAGTGAGACTTTTCTTGGTATTAGTGTCTTTTAATTACTCATTTTTATGGGAGGAGAGAATGTCTGGGGATAATGTACAAATAATTTGTAGTTGACTTAGGAATTTATCATGTGACATTTTCCCAGTCTGTTTGCCTTTTTAATTGTCTATGGTTAATATTAATTTGCATTCTGAGTACTGTGTGAGATAAATTAGGTGTAGTGAGGTAGGGATTAATCTGAAATTAACAATTTTATTAAGCAAAATTTTGCTGATGCCATCCTTGAAATTGAGTCCTTCAGTGGATTCTCGTTGCTTTTGTTTTTAAATTAAAATAATTTTTTTTGAGATAAAGTCTTGCTATGTTGCCCAGACTGGTCTCAAATTCCTGGGCTCTCCTGCCTCACTCTCCTGAGTGGCTGGTATTACAGGTGTGTGTCACCGTGCCCAGCTTCTGTTGCTTTTAGAAGGGCTGGCCAGGTGTGCTAGCTCATTCCTGTAATCACAGCACTTTGGGAGGTTGAGGCAGGAGGATCACTTGAGGCCAGGATTTCAAGATCAGCCTGGGCAACACAACAAGACTCCATCTCTAGGAAAAAAAAAAAAAAAGGAGGACCAATATACTGAATGTGGCCTACCTGGCCCTGCCTGCTTGAAAACCTATAGAGCTCCTCCACCTCTCTCCTAGGACATGCCTCCTCCAGCTGTGCCAACCTTACCTGCCAAATGTGTTGGACCCTTCCCTCCTATTCCATCAGATTTCAGTTCAAGAGCCATTGCCTGATGGAAGATTTCCATGACCTGCCACTGTGCTATTGTCTTATGACTGCTGTAACAAATCACCCCAAATTAGCAGCTTAAGACAACACACCTTCTCTTATAGATCTGGAGATCAGAAGTCTCAATGAACCCCACCAGGTTAAAATCAAGGTGTCAGCCTTTGGGAGGCTCTAGGGGAAGGTCTGTTTTCTTTTCTTTTTCTTTTTTTTTTTTCTTCTTTTTTTTTTTTTTGAGATGGAGTCACATTCTGTCACCCAGGCTGGAGTGCAGTGGCACAATCTCGGCTCACTGCAAGCTCCACCTCCCGGGTTCACGCCATTCTCCTGCCTCCGCCTCCAGAGTACTTGGGACTACAGGCACCCATCACCATGCCCGGCCAATTTTTTGTATTTTCGGTAGAGATGGGGTTTCACTGTGTTAGCCAGGATGGTCTCGATCTCCTGACCTCGTGATCTGCCAGCCTCGGCCTCCCAAAGTGCTGGGATTACAGGCGTGAGCCACCGTGCCCGGCCTTTTTTTTTTTTTTTTTTTTTGAGGCAGAGTCTCACTCTGTTGCCCAGGCTGGACTGCAGTGCCATGATCTTGGCTCACTGCAACCTCTGCGTCCCGGGTTCAAGCGATTCTCCTGCCTAAGCCTCCTGAGTAGCTGGGATTACAGGTGCATACCATCACGCCCAACTAATTTTTATGTTTTTAGTAGAGATGGGTTTTCACCATTTTGGTCAGGCTGGTCTCGAACTCCTGACCTCGTGATCTGCCCACCTTCGCCTCCCAGAGTGCTGGGATTAGAGGCATGAGCCACCACACCCAGCTAGAAAGTCTGTTTTCTTGTCATCTCATTTCCAGAGGCTGCCTGCATTCCTTAGCTTGTGGCTTCTTTACATCTTCAAGACCAACAATCATTTCACTCCACCCTCTGACTTCTGCTTCTGTGGTCTCACTCCCTTCCCTGACTCTCCTGATTCTTCATCATTTAAGAATCCTCGTGATTACATTAGGCACAGCCAGATAATCCAGGATCATTTCCCTATTTTAAGGTCAGCAGATTAGCATTCCTCTATTTTATTTTATTTTTTGTTTATTCACTCATTTATTTATTTATTTATTGAGACAGAGTCTCGCTCTGTCGCCCAATCTGAAGTGCAGTGGTGCGATCTCGGCTCACTGCAACCTCTGCCTCCTGGGTTCATGTGATTCTCCTGCCTCAGCCTCCCGAGTAGCTGGGACTACAGGCATCCGCCACCATACCTGGCTAATTTTTGTACTTTAGGTAGAGACGGGGTGTCACCATATTGACCAGGCTGCTCTCGAACTCCTGACCACATGATCCACCTGTCTCAGCCTCCTAAAGTGCTGGGATTACAGGTGTGAGCCACCACACCCAGTCTATTTTATTTTTTAGAAATGGGGTCTCACTATGTTGCCCAGACTAGTCTCGAACTCCTGGGCTCAAGCGATCCTCCTGCCTCAGCCTTCCAAATTCTGGGATTACAAGCATGAGCTACCATGTTTGGCCGGATGAGCATTCCTAATTCCATCTAGAATCCCAGTTCCCCCTTACCACATAATGTAACATATTGACAAGTTTTGGGGATTTGGATGTGAACATCTTTGGGGGCCATCATTCTGCCTATCATAGCTACCTAAGTTAAACACAAGATTTTAAGTTCTTGTAACTAACTGTTACAATTAATTTCATTTTTTTTCTCACCACTGTATCTCCACCCTCTAGCACTTTGCTCAGATAAATGCGAAATACAGGGTTGGCCAGTGAGAGATACATGGTGATTGTGATAGTATTTTCTTTTTTTTTTTTTTTGGCCATTCTATTTTTGGCACATCATGTGTTTTTACATTTCTTTTTAACTTTTAGGTTTGGGGGTGCATGTGAAGGTTTGTTACATAGGTAAACACGTGTCATGGACATTGTTCTACAGGCTCTTTCATCATCCAGGGATTAACCCAGTACGCAATAGTCATCTTTTCTGCTCCTCTCTCTCCTCCCACTCTCTACTCGCAAGTAGACCCCCGTGTCTATTGTTTCCTTCTTTGTGTTTGTTCGTAAGTTCTTATCATTTAGTCTCCACTTATAAGCGAGAACACGTAGTATTTGGTTTTCTGTTTCTCTGCTAGTTTACTGAGGATAATAGCCACCACCAGCTCCATCCACGTTTCCACAAAAGACATGATCTTGTTCTTTTCTATGGCTGCCTAGTATTCCATGGTGTATCTGTACCCCTTCTCTTCTCTTCTCTTCTCTTCTCTTCTCTTCTCTTCTCTTCTCTTCTCTTCTCTTCTCTTCTCTTCTCTTCTCTTCTCTTTCTTGATGGAGTTTCACTCTTGTTGCCCAGGCTGGAGTGCAGTGGCATGATCTCAGCTCACTGCAACCTCCGCCTCCCGGGTTCAAGTGATTCTTCTACCACAGCCTCTCGAGTAGCTGGGATTACAGGCATGCACCACCACGCCCAGCTAATTTTGTAGTTTTTAGTAGAGACAGGGTTTCTCCATGTTGGTCAGGCTGGTCTCAAACTCCCGACCTCAGGTGATCTGCCCGCCTCAGCCTCCTAAAGTGCTGGAATTACAGACGTGAGCCACCGGACCCAGCCACCACATTTTCTGTATCCATCTGCCATTGATTTACATTGATTCCGTGTCTTTGCTGTTGTGAACAGTGCTGCAGTGAACATTCGCATGCATGTGTCTTTATGGGAGAATGACTTACGTTGCTCTGGGTATATACCCAGTAATGGGATTGCTGGGTCGATGGTAGTTCTGCTTTTAGCTCTTTGAGGAATGACACTTCATGAATTGGCATGTCATCCTTGTGTGGGGCCATACTAGTCTTCTCTGTATTGTTCCAATTTCAGTATATGTGCTGCCAAAGACAGCATGTGATAACATTTTCTTTTCCTTTTTTTGAAACAGGGTCTTGCTCTATTGCCCAGGCTGGAGTGCAGTGGTCTAATCAAAGCTCACTGCAACTTTAAACTTTTGGGCTCAAGCAATCTTCTGCCCCAGGTTCCTGAGTATCGGGACTACAGACACTCACCATCACTGTTCAGCTATTTTTTTTTTTGGATACAGAGTTTTGCTCTTGTTGCCCAGTCTGCAGTGCAATGGCTTGATCTCAGCTCACCGCAACCTCTGCCTCCCGGGTTCAAGCAATTCTCCTGCCTCAGCCTCCCAAGTAGCTGGGATTACAGGCATGCGCCACCAGCCCAGCTAATTTTGTACTTTTAGTAGAGAAGGGGTTTCTCCATGTTGGCCAGGTTGGTCTTGAACTCCCGACCTCAGATGATCTGTCCGCCTCGGCCATCCCAAGTGCTGGGATTACAGATGTGAGTCACCACGCCCGGCCACGATCAGTTAATTTTTAAAAAGATTTTCTTTTTAGGCCAGATGCAGTGGCTCACGCCTGTAATCCCAGCACTTTGGGAGACCGAGGTGGGCAGATCACAAGGTCAGGAAATCGAGACCATCCTGGCTAACACAGTGAAACCCTGTCTCTACTAAAAATACAAAAAATTAGCCGGGCGTGGTGGCGGGCACCTGTAGTCCCAGCTACTCGGGAAGCTGAGGCAGGAGAATGGCATGCTCCCCTGGGAAGCGGAGCTTGCAGTGAGCCGAGATCACGCCACTGCACTCCAGCCTGGGTGACAGAGTGAGACTCCGTCTCAAAAAAAAAAAAAAAAAAATTTTTTTTCTTTTTGTGGAGACGGGGGTCTTGCTATGTTGACTGGCTGGTCTCGAACTCCTGGCCCCGAGTGATCCTCTCATCTTGGCCTCCCAAAGTGTTGGATTACAGGTGTGAGCCACTGCACCCGACTATAATGAAAAATAAAATAGGAAATATATGTAGCTTATTTACTTTAACTCCTTTTCCCCTCATTTCTTAGTGCAGTGGACTCCTCAAAGCTCCTTCAAGTCTTGGGGAGCCCTGTCTTTGCAGTTCTCTGGCAGGCTGCCTTGCTGCCTCTCCCACGTCACACGCAGAAGTCAGATAAGCCTGACTATCAACATGACCTCCTCCACCTCTTACCTGCATAACCTTGAGCGGTAACTTCACCTTTGTCAGTCTCCATTTTTTTTTTTTTTTGAGACGGAGTCTTGCTCTGTCGCCCAGGCTGGAGTGCAGTGGCACAATCTTGGCTCACCACAACCTCTGCCTCCTGGGTTCAAGCAATTCTCCTGTCTCAGCCTCCCAAGTAGCTGGGATTACTAGGTGTCCACCACCATACCTGGCTAATTTTTTGTATTTTTAGTAGGACGAGGTTTCACCATGGGATGGGGTTTCTCCATGTTGGCCAGGCTGGTCTCGAACTCCTGACTTCAGGTCATCCTCCTGCCTTGGCCTTAAAGTGCTAGCTTACCATGCCCAGCCTATTATCTTTTTATTCTCAGGCTCTAGAACGATAACTCGTGGATAGGCTCTTGAAGGGCTGATTGGATTAAAGTAGTCTCCACGATTAGCTTGGGGAGCATCCAGGAATTTGAGAGTTAACTGTGAAAATAAGAAAGGAGTTAACACCAGCTCCATCATAAGGCTCTGGGACCCCAAAGAAATGGGTAACAGCATGTCACAAGGCACTGCGAGGGGCTGGCTGCCCTGGGATGAGTGTGCATCACTTGTGTTGCCTCCGAAACACCCACACAATCTGTATTGATAGAGAGCTTAAGTTTCTCTGCCTATGTCCATTTATTAAGGTTAGTGTTGTGGATGCTGTCAACTCCCGAAGCCTGGGCTTTCAGAGCCCATTAAGGGGAGATGCACAGGGCGCCTTTCATTTCAGACTACAGAAAGCACTTTTCCACTGTGGGGGCCAGGCAGGGTCACTACTGTGGTAGCTTTTGCCCGAAAGCACAGTCCCTTTCTCTCTGGCCCAGACATCCCCTAGGGAACACAGCGTTGTCTACAGAGAACTAATAGATCAAAGCCCACACAATTCATTCTTCCACTCTGAAGCACAGGAACTCGCCAGCGTTTCATCAGACCCTCTGCCGAAGTGGTTTGAGTTCTTGCAGAACACCAATGATTACTTTAATGGAGAAGACTAGACTAACGTCACATATCACTTAATGACTATTAAATAATTTTTCATTTCATTTTTGCAAAGACTTAAAATTAGATCTTGTGACTTTCTTCTTCACAAAAGCAATATACATCTATCGTAAAAACCTTTTAGAAATAATACCCGGGTGGGCGCAGTGGCTCACGCCTGTAATCCCAGCACTTTGGGAGGCTGAGGCGGGCAGATCACAAGGTCAGGAGTTCTAGACCAGCCTGACCAACATGGTGAAACCCATCTGTACTAAAAATACAAAAATTAGCCAGGTGTGGTGGCTTGCGCCTGTAGCCCCAGCTACTTGGGAGGCTGAGGTAGGAGATTGCTTGAACCCAGGTGGCAGAGGTTGCACTGAGCTGAGATAGCATTACTGCACTCCAACCTGGGCAACAGAGCAAGACTCTGTCTCAAAAAAAAGAAAAGGTAATATCCAAACTACTATTTAGAAGTAACCACCATTAGAGTTTTTTGTGTATAATCTTTTGCCTCTGCACAAAGATGTTTATTTTAATGTAACAAAACTAAGATCACAAGGCATATATTATATTTCATTTCCTTTTAGTTTCTGGTAAATAGTATGCTATGAATATCTTTCTTTTTTTAAATTCTATTTATTTTTTATTTTTATTTTTTTGAGACAAAGTCTTGCTCTGTCACCCTGGCTGGAGTGCAGAGGCAGGAGCAGAGATCACGGCAGCCTTGGCCTCCTGGGCTCAGGCAATCCTCTTACCTCAGCCTCTCTGAGTAGTTGGGACTACTCAGCCCATGACACTATGCCTGGCTAATTTTTTGTAGAGACCACGTTTCAAACTCCTGTGCTCAAGCAATCCTCCTGCCTCAGCCTCCCGAAGTGTTGGGATTACAGGCGTGAGCCATCACGCCTGACTGATTTTTCTATGTTGATAATATTTTTTAAAACAATATCTGTTATACGGGTGGCTTAGAGATTCCACAGTTTATTTAATCACCACTCTATGATCCGAGTGGCTTTTTAATTCTCTTGATTAAAAACAACACTGTGATCAACATTTTGAAGACTTTTTAGTAGCAATCCAAATAATTTCCATGAGCTAAATTCCTGGAACTGAATCATTAGGTCAAAATGTACTTGCATGTTAAACCCATTGATACAGCAGCTGCCCAGAAAGGTTGCCCCAACATGCACTTCTGTGACATTTCTCCTGCAGCCTTACCAATACTGATTTTAGTTGTATGTTAAAAGTTTCTGAGTTGGAAGGGATCATCTATTGTAAACCCTTCATGTTGGCGTGTGTATCTGGCCCCAGTGAGGGGAAGGGGATAGGAACTAACATTTTTTGAGCTTGATGCCTATCTATGTAGGCACTGTCATAAACATCATTTACCTTTATAGATACAGGTTCTTGTTGTTGTTGTTTTTGTTGACACGGGCTCTCACCATGTTACCCAAGCTGGTCTTGCACTCCTAGGCTCAAGTGATCATCCCGCCTTGGCCTCCCAAAGTGCTGAGATTACAGACGTGAGCCACTTTGCCTCACCCATCATCTCATTTACTCTTCACATCACCACTCGGAGGAAAATTACGACTTCTGTCTTATAAACAAATACAGCAAAGCTCATAGAAATTAAGGGGCATGCACAAGTCTGCATGTCTCAATAGTGTGGAAGCCAGTATTAAATTTTGTTCACCTGAAGGGCCACTCAATATCATGTTATTAACCACAGTGGTTCTCTGTGTTTTAGGCTATTGCAGCAACAGAACACCAGGTCCTTTCAGATCTATAAAAATGACCCAGTGGCCTGTCTGAGGGTCTGAATAGGTAGGATTGGTAAAACAATTTTTACCAATAGGAAGATCTTCAAGATTGCCATAAATTGCATTTCTTGACTGGGCGTGGTGGCGCACACCTATAATCCTAGTTACTCAGGAGGCTGAGGGAGGAGAATCGCTTGAAACCGGGGGGCAGAGGTTGCAGTGAGCTAAAATGGAACCACTACATTCCAGCCTGGGTGACAGACCAAGACTGTCTCAAATAATAAATAAATAAATTGCATTTCTAGAGTAAGATTTTATTTTTAATTCTCCAAAGCTTGAGAGTATCATCTCACTGTCAGCTTCAGAAATGGAAGTCTTATGGCCATTTATTTATTTATACTTTTAAAATATAAAAATAGAGATGGGGTCTTGCTACATTGACCAGGCCGGTCTCGAACTCCTGGCCTCAAGTGATCTTCCCATCTCAGCCTCCCAGTGTGCTAGGATTATAGGCATGAGCCACCATGCCTGGACTGGCTGTTTATTTACACTTGGCTACGTTTTCTAAAATATGCTAACCCAAAAACATATTACAGACAAATATAAAGCTTTTGGAGTAGTTAGCTTATGGATTATTGCCTATCAGGAGACCTCTGAGCTCACCATCCAGTATTAACATGATCCCTCTATATTTTCTGTTTTTTTTTGTTTTGGTTTGTTTGTTTGTTTGAGGCAGAGTTTTGCTCGTCACCCAGGCTGGAGTGCAGTGGCACGATCTCAGCTCACTGTAACCTCCTCCTCGCAGGTTCAAGTGCTGGGATTACAGGTGCCCACCACCATGTCCAGCTAACTTTTTGTATTTTTATTAGAGATAGGGTTTCACCATGTTGGCCAGGCTGTCTTGAACTCCTGACCTCAGGTGATCCACCCACCTCAGCCTCCCAAAGTGCTGAGATTACAGGCTTGAGCCACTGGGCCTGGCTGAATAATTTCTTTTTCTAAATTTAATAATAGAGATGGGTCTCACTTTGTTGCTCAGGCTAGTCTTGAACTCCTGGGCTTAAGCGATACTCCTGCCTCAGCCTCCCAAAGT